TTTTGGCTAAGTGCTTTCTTCAAAAGCTCTGGATGTCCGGGTTGGGTTGGGACGAGCCTATTAGCGGGGTCCTCTTGCGAGAGTGGCTCTCCATGCTCTCCTCCCTTCCGGACATCAACCGGGTTTCCATGCCAAGGTGCTTCCTACCTCCAGGGAAATGCAGGGCTACCCTACATGGGTTTTGCGACGCCTCTGAGAAGGGCTATGCTGCTGTCGTATATTTGCGGACTGTGAGTTCCTCTGGGCATACTGCAGTTCATCTCGTACTCGCCAAAAGCAAGGTTGCTCCCATTAGATCCCGTTTAACTATCCCTAAATTGGAACTGTCCGGAGCCGCTCTTCTCACGCGGCTCCTCAACCACGTTCACTCGTCCTTGAAGCCTGTAATCGACATTACGGACGTCTACGCATGGTCGGACAGTGAGATAGTACTTTGTTGGCTCCGAGCCGCACCTCACAATCTTGAGGTCTTTGTGGCGAACCGCGTGTCTCAAATCCAGAGTTCTGAGACTTCTCTCCACTGGAGACATGTCCCCGGGGAGTTGAATCCCGCCGACTGCGCTTCCCGCGGCTGTGAGGCCCCCGCGCTGGTTTCCCACTCATTGTGGTGGGGTCCCGGTTGGTTATCTGATCCTCAATCCTTCTGGCCCCAGGGTAATTACTCCGAACCTACTGAATTGCCAGGCCTACGGGCCCGAGTAGGAGTGGGCAAGGATAAGCCCACTCGGGATCTCTCCCTTCTGGAACGGTACAGCTCTCTCGATAAGCTCTTAGGAGTGACTGCTTGACTGCGCCGCTTTGTCCACAATTCGAGAGATCCGTCCAACCGACTCTCTGATTGCGTTTTGTCCCCTAGCGAGCGTCGGGAAGCCCTGATGCATTGGATCCGTATGGTCCAGACGGAGCATTTTGAGCCCGTTATCGAACACTTGAAGCGTGGCTCCGTTATCAAGGGCGCTCTGGCCCGCCTGAACCTCTTTCTGGACGACGCTGGGATGCTGCGCGTGGGCGGACGTTTGAAAAACTCTCAACTGCCGTGCGGGGCTCGACACCCGTTGCTGCTCCCTAAGGACGGCGCCCTTGTCCGGTTGCTGGTAACCCACCACCATGTTAGGAATGCCCACGCTGGGTGTAACGCCCTGTCGGCTATTTTGCAGCGGGAGTTTTGGATTTTGTCTGGTCGTCGCACCATTCGGAGCGTCATCTTTAAGTGCATCCCCTGTTATAAACTGAAGGCCCCCATATCGCAGCCTCTTATGGGTGACTTGCCGCCCGACCGCGTCAGGGCCATCCGACCATTCGCTGGGGTCGGAACAGACTTCGCTGGCCCCTTCCTCGTCAAGTCCTCTAACCTTCGTAACGCGCGTTCATGTAAGGCCTATCTTTGCGTCTTCGTGTGCCTCTCCACTAAAGCCGTTCACTTGGAACTGGTGAGCGCCCTCAGCACGGAAGCCTTCTTGGCCACGCTTGGCCGTTTCGTGTCGCGGCGCGGCTTGCCGGACTTGATCCGGTCTGACTGCGGGACGAATTATAAGGGCACGGATAGGTATCTCAAGGAGGTTGTCGAATTTCTGTCCAGCCACCGGACTTATTTAGGAAATGCTATGTCGAAAAGGGGCATCCAGTGGAAATTCGACCCTCCGGCGTGTCCCCACTGGGGCGGTATTTTCGAGGCGGTGGTTAAGGTTGCCAAAACGCATCTCCGTCGCGTTATTGGTGAAGCCATTTTGACGTTTGAGGAGCTCGCCACTGTATTCTGTAAAATTGAGGCGGTACTCAACTCTCGGCCCCTCTGTCCCCTCTCCTCTGACCCGAATGATTTGGAGGTTCTAACCCCGGGACACTTTCTGATTGGCCAGCCTCTTAACGCTCTGCCCGAGTATCCCTTCAGGGAAACGAGTGCTTCACGGCTTAGCAGGTTTGCCCTGCTGCAACAGATGACTCAACGCTTTTGGCACCGATGGTCTCTGGAGTACCTACATCTTTTGCAGCAGCGCGTTAAGTGGTCTGACAAGACGGAGCCTCCTCGGGTGGGAGACCTCGTGTTGATTAAAGAACCAAACGCGCTACCTTTGTATTGGCGCCGTGGGCGCATTGTTAAATTGTCGTATGGAACGGATGGGGTGCCTAGAGTGGCCGAGGTTTTGGTCGGAGATTCGGTCTTGCAACGGGCCGTCGCGACCTTGTCCCGTTTGCCAATCTACTCGCGGACTTAATGCCTTATGTCCGGGGCGGGGGGTTGTCTAGGCAGGAAAATTTGCAATAAAAACGCAGTATTTAACGCGCGCTTTTGGCCTCGATATCAAGGGCACCTTCCCTCTCCCCCGCCCCCCCCCGGCCGCCGGACGGGTCGGCGTGGCTCTTCTCGCGAGGTAGTAGGATTTTTCTTGCGAACTATACGGACGTATTTTTTCGCGCCTAAACTTGCTAAAGGAACAATCCGCGTAAATCGTTGCAATAACGGTATCGTTATTAGAACGTACTAACTCGGTGAAATTCGCGCGCAACTATCAAAGTGATTTACATCTGAAGGACTACCAGAGTAGCCGTCCCATTTGGTGACAACCCCTTACGAGTGCCTCCAGAAGGGTGAAGTTCCGGGGATACCAGCGCGTGCCTTCTCCCGGACGTCGTCGAGTCATCCAGATCGTTTCCGGTCAACATACCAGCACACACAATTACACCTACACTCACAACACCGCACACACCAAGCACAACTTTCATCAGCCGGGCCGGTCGAGGAGAACCGTCTGCGCTCCTGGGGCAGGTAAGTGCATTTATTCTAGTGACCTTCCCCCTCGTGTGTTCATTAGAAACCTTTGACCCTCGGCGTAGGAACGCCCGACCTGCATCTGCCCGTGGCTCCTTCGTCTATGGGCCGCGAAGGATCCAACTCCTGTTGAGGCAGGGCAGCTGTTGGCCGTAACAACATTACCAACGTTTAGACAGTTATTGACTTAAAGTTATATTTTAGAGGTATGCTAGAACGATAATCTTACATTTTTTATCGCTAATCATAATTGGTATATTCCATATTGTATTTCAATTAAGCATATTATTAAGTAGCACGAAAAAAAAAACACTAAAACACCAATGTTCTTTCACTAAAAACTAGGGGGTGCATTTTACGCTATAGATGACAACATAGTTTTGAAATTTGACATTGTCAAATGAATGAATATATTGTTTTTTTTTATAGGATAGGGTGACAAACGTGCACACAGTCCACCTGATGGTAAGTGGTTGCTGTGGTCCATAGACATCTACATCTATCCTCGTTTGCGAATCAAAATGCAGATGCGCTGTCACCCGTGAGGACCAAGAAGGAATGCCTCTTTTCCAGTAAAAAGGGTCTCCGGTTCTCTACGCTCACCTTACGAAATACATCAGTGTCGAGCTGTTATTTTACGCTGATATTCTGAGAGTGCGTGGTCCTACCCCGGTCGAGCCGACCCATTTGTGCAACAACTATACTACTAATATAGCTGCAGCATGGCTCTACCACGAATAATGTATTATACGTGTAGAAAGCGCCTTGTGCTAATCATTCGCTAAATCTATGTGGAGTGCGCTCACTTAGGGAGCGTTAATTCAAGTTTTACTTTTTTCGAAACAGTAGAAAGAGTTTACAGGTTCTTTTCATCATCTACACGCCATTGGGAAACTTTAATGTAAAGTGTAGGCGTATCCGTCAAAAGCCTCTCAGATACAAGATGGATTGCTCATCATGACGCTATTAAACCACTGCAGAATAATTTAAAAAAACTAGTATAAACATTCGGAGATAGATATGATCCCAGCACCAACAGAGAAAACGTCGATATAAGAGAAGCAGCGTCTATACTTTTACCAGCTTTGTGTGACTTCAGTTTTTTATGCCATCTTTCCTTTAGGTGTAAAATCCTAAAATAAGTTAGTCAGACACAAAAGTAAATACTAAATAATAAAATAATAATCTAGATTATCACTGGAAAATTACTTATTCTAGTAACATTTAGTGTTGTTCAGCCTTACACTCTGCTAACGTCACCAGATGAAGATCTTCGTGTAATAGTTCAAAATCGGACAAAAAACTACGATGATTTTTCTGCAGGATATATAATTTTGGAGATTTTATGACTTGAAAACTGCCAGCATTTCTTTCCAAGAAGCAGTTCAATGTAATTCATTGGAGCTTTTCTCGTAAAATCGGGCTATTCTAAATCTGTTCCGTATCTAGTGCTGTGTCTAAGATTTTTTTCACTATCAAGTTTCATGTGAAGGAAGCTTTTAAAAACTCAAGTCAATAAAATCTTACTTAAGGTCCACAATGAGCCAAGCGCGACTAAACAATCTTTCCATTTCATTTATCTAAAATGACAAGAAAGTAAATTTTGATAATATATTAGAATATTTTAGCAACATAAAGTCATGTTAGCATGTATTTCATTTGTTGTTTTATTTTGGGGGGTGCTTGATAGAAAACCGCCCTGGGTGCCGCCAATCCACGCTACGCCGCCACTAGTCACCGTAAGGTTTGATACTGTAGCGAAGCAATAATGTAATCAAAATATTAAACGGAGTTTAATTATAATACTATTCAGCACTTTCCATATTGAAAAAAATACGCATTTCGTTTTCCGTAATGCTGTATATACTACTAATATCCTCAAAATATTGTATCATGGACACTCTATTAGAAAGAAATGAAACACCTAACTCGGTGCCTTTCATTAATTTCAAGGTCACTGATTTAGGAACGTTTCTCTAGTATGAAGTGCGCACTCCCTATATTATACTTGATTGCATCAACATATTGTGAAGCAGTGTACTATGAAGGATAATTATTATACATTGTAACTTCAGGCTCGGAAGGGCTAGAACCCAGAGCCGTGAAGCTAGTTGTTAAAAAAGCCAGGAGTTGACAGTTGACATTGACAATAATCTTTTTCTTTTCTTTAGTCTTGCAAAAATTTTATTGAATGAAGTGAATTCTGTCGAGTGTCGATAAGCACTGAAAAATGCTGGCTCGTACCTTAATTTCAAGAGCTATATTACTAAGAACCGCAAAGACCACCGCCGACCATGCCAAACAGTTAAAGAGAAACGCTGGGCACGGGTGAGTTTTGCTGTTATGTCATAGCAAAAAGTAATTACAAATGCAATTATTGTTATTTAATGCATCTTGTACTCTTTCATCAGCTTGCAAAATTTCACTGCTGGACATGGGCCACTCCTATTGTAGGGTGAAGTTACCTTATTCGTACCGCTCTTCAGACGGATTGACAGTCACAGTTCCAGACGTTATATATCTTCGATGCTGCTGCCCGTTGCGTGTATATGAGCATTTTAAGTGGCTTTCCCAGGATCAGAGAATACATTTCGTCCCGCAGGATCCATAAGGAGACTATTAAAATGTTAGCAAAGTACTCTAGACCATAGATGGCGATATCACTATCTAGTCTTGTGTAAAATAAATATAAAACACCCAGACCATTACTGGCAGTAGTTTCATTGCCAATCCTCATGCTAACCACATTCATTATGACAGATCCTCCTTACAATGGGAGTGGCCATGTACAGCAGTAGACAGGTTGATGAAGAAATGTTTTTTTCAAATTATTATTTAACATAGATGTAATAAGTATGTGTGGGTAGGGTAGTTGTAGAGTCACCCTCCACTTCCATTTCCTGCCAGATGTGCTTAGTTTTTTTTATAAATTTTTTAATAATCTTATTTTGAGGTTATGTTTTCGTAATGTTTTTGACAATATAAACCTGATTTGTGGGGGCAGAGAGTTAGGGGAGGGTAGCTCAACGCCACTCAACGTGGCACAGTCGAGGGAAGCTCGGTCGATGGAGCCCCGCTTTGCTGGGCTCCTATTTCTGGATGATTTATAAAAAAATAACCATGAAGGGGATGGAGCCATCCCCTTCTAACCTAACCTGTCAGAGTCGGGGTGCCCCAAGTCCCGAGCTCGCTCTTGCACCAAATAAAACACCAAAATGTTAACTTTTATAATTACTTTAATAAGTAAACATATTTTATAACTTCCACCATTTCGAAAACCGTCGCAAAATAGCAAGCATTCGGTCTCCAGAGGGGTAGTGAAGTTGTCCAAAGACAGGAGGCAGATAATAACAATAAGGAGCACATTCATGTAAACTCGGAAGCAACGGAATGATGCTTATGACGCGAGTCGCGAAGTCGAGTATAAACATAGTGATTATATTCTCTTTTGTCCAGTATATCTGTTACTGATTACTGTCAATGTCAAAGGTTCCGTTTCAGGTATTAATTAGTGATTTATGAATATTTTTAGAAAGTTATATTAAATATTTCGACGCAGCTCTGGCAGCTAACATTGCATGGGATTGCTTGACATAAGCCCCCTTGACCCTCCTACAGTGACAGACTCCTCAAATTCAGGCGACTTGATTCTAAACCCAACCCGTATGTGTATGCACTACGTATGGCCTTAAGTTCTATTTAAATACAGCAAAGCAGAGATGTATCTCTCAAGCTGACCATAATATTTATTTGTTAACTTGTTTTCAAAATATTTTGAATAGCTTGAAAGTTTAATAATTATTTATTAAACTTTCACAAGCTTTCACACTTTAACAAGCTGAACAAACATTTTCCTCTTCCACTAGTTAGAACTAAAAATGGCAATTTAGGATTTCAGTGATGCCTCCACTGGCAAAATGATAAATAAAACAATGATGAATATATAATACCTAAAACTTATTTACTCCACAGCGTGTGGTCATATAGAGTGCCACCTCCCATGCCTTCGAAAAGAGCTCTCGCTATATCGCAGGTTCTTGGTGGAATATGTTGGTGGTGGATTCTGTACCATATTGCGACGGAACCAGAGCATATCTATGTAAGTTAAATAATTATATAAAATTATGACTTTGTGATCAACACATCAGTTTAGTTTTTTTAAAGGAATTGTGAATATAACAGTTTATTTACGTGACCACATTAAATAAAACTAATTTTTACGGATTCTATCGTGTGTTATTTAACTTTTTCATTCCCGACGTTTCTATGACATCGGGACGTCAAACACCTCAGTCCTCCCGTGACCATGGGTGCTGTAAAGCACCCAAAATGTCTGGAATTAAAAAGTTAAATTAAACACAATAGAATCCGTAAAAATTAGTTTCATTTAAAATATAAGAGTTTATAAAACTTGCTATGGCTGTTGTATGGTAATCAATGCATAACCTTGAAATGGCTTACCTGGATTAATGGATGTTCAAAAAAATATATACCAAGTAGTAACCAAGCCCAAGATATTTAAAAATAATAGTTATATTTTTTCACAAATTACTTTCATATGTTTTTTGTTGATGTTTTTTCTCCTGTTATTATCGCCGACACCACTACCAGGAATCCTTCCTCTGAAATAACTATGTACAGATTCTTATAAATAGGCAGCCGTCTAGGTAACGCACATAAGTGTATTTTTTCCTATACAGAGCTGCATCTGCATTTGTATTACCCTTGCATTTTCAAAAAATAAATACATGTTTGCATACTCCTGTAGTGTATAGTTAATACAGGACATTTTGATACACTAACACAGAAAAAATATTTACGCAGCCGTGTGAGTGCGGCATCAAAAAAAAACGAGCGGCGCTTTACGAAAAACGAAATCAAAGATTTTTAAAAAAACCTTCAAAAAATATATTTGTTTATTTGAAGTATTTACCCTCATTGTCTGTAAATTTCGTCAATCTCGAAAGAAGATGCCTTTGCGATAAAACTGGGGATCTGAACTTCACAAGGTCTATAAAGGCTAAAGTTGTAAAAATTCATTTACTTAGATCCCTGTAATAAAATAAAATGTGCCTTAGTTTGAAGAGCACAGGGAGTGTGGGCTCCTTCACCACAAATCCCAGCACCACTATTCCCAACACCATTACGCTAGGAAAAACACACCACTGTCTTTCCTATGTATATATTTTATAATAATACATTTTGCATAGAGTACGTTTGTCATTTTTGACAATTTAATCAAAACTTTGGCTTGGGCCAAAAGTTGGGCTTGTGCCGCAGGCCTAATATGCGGCCGAAAATATTTTTTGGAGGAAGCGGAAGTTAAAGTCGTACTCTAATAATTTTTATATGAATTTTCAGGGTGAATGGCCATATATTGATCCCAGTACTTGGACTGATGAAGAATTGGGAATTCCACCCGACTCTGCTGGACCATTGAAACAGTAAAAAGTTGGTAACAGTACCAGTTAAATAAAATGATAGTGAAAATATTGTACAGCTCTTAATATTTTAGTAATTAAAATAATTTATCAAAAATTTTGCTGAAGTTTTATGTTCAATCAATAATACATCTAATTATTAGAATAGAATAGATTTTTTTTTATTCAATATAGATCACATGTGTAATTCTTATTGAAAGTCATTTTTTACTTTACCACTGGTTTGAAAAAAAACTCTGTCCTGGGAAGAACCAGCAATAAACACAGCGGGACCTTTTTTAAAAGCATATTTTTCATTAATGGTTGGTACAAAATTTATTTTAGAAACAGCTTAGAAACGACCACCTCATTCCCAGGGGTTATTATCAACCATATATTCATTTATACTATAATAACCCTTTTTATACAGTTTGAACTTAACAAAACATTTAAAGTTGGTAATAGAGAGAGCCACTTTCCGGGACCTTGTTTAAATTGCTTATACATTGCCCCATGAATGAGTTACTGACTCTGTGGAGTCGAAAAACTGGCATCACTAACTTGTGTTTGTTCCTAGTGTTTACAGAATGTATATTACTTTTTTTACTAAAACTACCTTTGTTTTTGTGAACATACATTGAATTTTCGTAAATATACTGAGAGGCCAAAGTTAATATATTTATTTCTTTAAATTTATCTCTAAGAGACTCTCGGTTTTAGGTTGTAAATAGCTCTAATGGCCCTCTTCTGTAAAACAAAAATAGTTTCAGAATCAGCCGCATTTCCCCATAGCAAAATCCCATAAGACACTATGCTATGGAAATAACTGAAATAAACTAATCTAGCTGTCTCGACACTAGTGAGACCTCTAATCTTTTTTACAGCATAGGCTGCAGAACTTAGTCTGCTTGCTAGTTTGGACATATGGGGGCCCCACTGAAGCTTTGTGTCGAGAGTGATGCCAAGAAAAACAGTGGATTCAACAGGGCTGTTCTTTCTCATTTAAAAACACATTGGTACTCAGATTTTTAACATTCATTGTCGTAAATTTAATGCATTTAGTTTTATTTCCGTTTAAAATAGATTATTAACGTTAAACCAATGCACAAATTTTGATATAGCATTATTCACTTCGTCACATTTAAATGATTGGCGTTTAAGTTTAAAAATCAAGGAAGTGAAAACTGAATTACCAAAATTGACACTTTAATTACACAAAACTAATTACAATCTAAAACCACACTAATAATAAAACACAATCACTTTAGTATTCTCTTGTATCGCCAATTCAATCACTCAACATCAACAGCAGTCATCACTCATCAATGTCAAAAATTAATGCCATAGATATTTTTTTCATAACTGGTTTTACGACTCTGCGTTCTAGCCCTTCTGAGCCTGAAGTTACAATGTATAATTATCCTTTATAGTACACTGCTTCACAAGGGTCACATTGTGCAGCCCTTGCGAGATTTTGACAGCAGCTTGAGACAGTAAACGGCTGACAGTTGGCGATGGTATCTCAAATAGTTCTTGATAAGTATCGTGCATATATTATATATTATGTAGTACTAATTAAATGATTAATATTTCTTTATCGTAAATTCAATTAATTTTTATTTACTGACATTCAATAAACTCATCTTTTTTAATAAGATCTACTGAAAAATAAAAAAAGAACTAAGGAACTAAATGGGCGAACTAGTTCGCTATAGGACTACGAACTAAATTGAGCGCTCCCAATAGCGACCGCCTAAGCCCAAGACTAATACTGCCTCGGTCGTGGTCTATACCGGCCCTATATAGGGCCTTGGATAGTTTCCAGAACCTTCTACTGTAGCGACATCTAGAATGTTCGAGTACATATCGGTCCCGAAATTTCTGGAAGGATCTTGACTCTCCTAGTTCTGCTACTCGACACTAGAGGGCGCTAGTGTAACTAGTGTTGTCATGTACAAGACATTAATAGTGGCGCGCAACACTGCCCCCTCCTAAGACATGCTCGTCCCGAGTATTAATGGCCCCATAATAACGTGCCAGTCGATCCACATGGACGATCTTAGGAGTACCTCTGGCACCTTTCTGTATCCGGTAGGTTACGTCATTGATCCTTGTCATAATCCGGTACGGTCCGTACCCATTTAGCTTGAAGCTTAGGAGATTTCCCTTTGCTGCGAGCTGGATTGTGTAACCACACTAGTGAACCTTCGTCAAACCCTTTGTTGTTCATTTTGCGGTCATACCGTGTTTTCATCTTCTCAGACGTTTGCTGGCCCGACTGTCTGACGTGCTCATAAATGTCATTCATTTTGTTCCGCAAGTCATTTGCATAAACGGTTATACTGCATGAGGCATCAGGTGGTATTCTGGTGATCAGGTCTCCAGGCAGCCGTAATTCTCCCCCAAAGTTTGCGAAAGCTGGTGTCACTGATGTACTTTCGTGAACAGCGCTTCGATATGACAACGAAAACGGTTGTATGTGCCTGTCTCAGTCTAATTGCCGTTTTTCCACAACTTTTGCTAGGTAACTCTCCAATGTCTGCTTAAATAGTTCTACCATTCCATCAGATTGTGGGTGGTAAGAACTTGTTCTTGTTTTATGAGTATCCATAACTCAACAAGCTTCCTGGAATATTTGAGACTCAAAATTCCTTCCTTGATCGCTGTGAATCTCTAAAGGTACGCCAAAACGACAGAAGACTTCATGAACTAGTTTATCTGCAACTGTTGAAGCTGCTTGATTTGGAATGGCGAAGAATTCTCGCCACTTAGTGAAGTAATCCATCACAATCATGAAATACTTGTTACCACTTTCACTTTACGGATACGGCCCAGCAACGTCAATGGCTATCCTCTCCCATGGTTCACCAACATTGTACAACTTCAATGCGCCTCTACTACGAGCTTGCGGTCCCTTTACAGCCGCACAACTTGTACATTTACGGCACCAGTCCTCGACATCGTCACGACAGTGGACCCAGTAAAACCGTTCTCGGATCTTCAGTAGAGTTCGTTTAACTCCCAGGTGGCCTCCTGAACAACCATTATGGTACAGCTGTAGAACACCCGATACTTTAGCTTTAGGGATAATCATTTGCAAATGACAACTGTCTCCCCGACCATTTTCCCATTTACGGCACAGGACTCCATCCTGAATCAGCAAGCCGTCCCATTGGGCCCAATAGCTTTTCGTGATCGAACTCATCGCTGAGACGGCGCTGCATTTGGGCTTAGGAGCACTGGCCTTCATCCATTCCTGAATCGGCTTGATGTCCGAATCTTCCTGCTGTGCATGTTGTAGGCTGTCCTTCCACTCATTGCTGAGGTGGTTTGTCCTGAGCATCCTCACGGATACCACTTCCTTACCCTCTTGCCTAGTACAATGCTTGCAATCTTCAGGGCAAGGTCTTCTTGACAATGCATCTGCATTACCATTAGATTTCCCGCTGCGATCTTCGATCACAAAGTCGTATTCCTGCTGTAGTTCAATCCATCTCGCAACTTGTCCTTCCGGATTTTTGAACTGCAATAGCCATTTCAGTGCAGCATGGTCAGTTCGTAAGTGGAATTTCCGCCCCAGAAGATATTTGCTAAAATGCTGCAAAGACTTTACCGCAGCAAGCAATTCCCGTCTTGTGATACAATAGTTCCTTTCCGGCTTTGACAACGACTTGCTGAAGTACGTTATCACAATCTCTTGATCACCATTCCGTTGAGACACCACACCGCCAAGTCCTATATCATTTGCGTCTGAGTCAACTATGAACTCCTTGCCCGCATCAGAGTACCCCAAAATAGGTGTTTTGCACAGACGGTTCTTGAGCTCCTGGAATGCAATATCGCAACTTTCATCCCAGCAGAAATGTAGCTTCTCCTCGGTAAGCTTGTGCAGAGGTTTGGCTATATCTGCAAAGTTCTTCACAAATCGCCGATAATAAGAGCACAAACCCAAAAATGCTCTAACCTGTGTCTTGTCTTTTGGAACCGGCCACTCCTTGACAGCGGTAATTTTCTCTGGATCCGTGCGGATACCTTCTTGCGACACTACATACCCCAAAAAGCTAACTTGCTGTTTGAATAGTGAGCACTTCTTCGGACTCAACTTGAGGTTAGCACTCTGGATCTTCATGAGCACGCGTTCCAGGTTTTGAAGGTGTTCCTCAAACGTACGGCCTACGATTATGATGTCATCCAAGTAGACCAGACAGGCATCTCCAATTAGCCCGGTAAGTACAAGCTCCATCAACCTTTCAAACATTGCTGGAGCATTGCACAATCATAAGGGCATGACTTTAAATTACCACAGACCCTTTCCTGTGGAGAATGCAGTTTTCTCCTTATCCTTAGGGTCCTTATCCTTAATTTCAACCTGCCAGTAGCCACTTTTCAGATCCAGCGTACTAAACCACTTTACGCCTGTGAGCATGTCCAGCGTGTCATCAATTCTAGGCAAGGGATAGCTGTCCTTCTTCGTAACGTCGTTCAGGCGGCGGTAGTCAACACAAAACCGCATGCTGCCGTCCTTCTTCTTTACCAGCATCACACTATATGACTAGATGAAGGTTCAATAACACCATCCTTCACCATTCCCTCAATCATGGTTTCCACTTCATTTTCACATGCTACAGGCAATCTTCTTGGCCCCTGACGACTATGCAATTCTTCTCCTGTGTTTATTTTGTGTTGAATTAAGCCAGTCTATCCTATGTCAGCTTCGTTTGACGAGAAAACATTGGCGTACTTGAGTAACAACTTCTTCGCCTTGACGATTTCATTCGGGGAGAGAACGCTGCGACAGTCTTCTAAAAGTGTGGTCACTCTCGTTTGTCCATCCTTGCTGGGGGTCCCAGTCGATAGATATTGGCACCGACGCAACCAATCCACTTCCTCACTAGTACCAACTAATGTGCCTTTTTCTATAATCTGTTCCTGATCACAAAGGTTCAGCACACGTTCTCCTGAGATGTCGGCGGTTCTGACCAAGGTTCGAGCCACTTTCCATGGAAGGTCATTGTCTACCCTTTCCACGAGTACACAACGAAGAGTTTGCCCAGGATTCCGAGGAAGTCTAACCGGCACAATCGTTTCCGATCTCGGCGGAGGAACAATCTTCTTAAGGCTGTACACATTCCCTGGTAACGCCCCTTCCACGAAAAGTTCCTCTTGTCCACATTTCAAAACACCTTGCTTAACGTCGATCTCACAACAATTCTTCCTCATAAAGTCTAGGCCCAGGATGCAGTCGTCCATTATATCAGCCACGATGACATTATGCAGGTAGATCATGTTGCCTAGCTTCAACTCGATCTCCTTCTCTCCACGGACGGGTATGCGCTGACCGGTGGCTGTCACCAAATTAATGCGTTCTCGGTTGTATGCGGAGTCCCCAAGGAACCGACTTATAAGTTGGGAACTCACAACCGTGCGAGAGGCTCCAGTGTCTATGGTCAGTTTACACGGCGTTCCGTTGACCTCGCCCTTGATGGTTAGGCTGTTCCCATCATGGGTTTGTGAGATCGAAATCCTTGGGGCTCTTTTAACATCAGCCAGCACCCGCCAGTTTCCCTGCTGCTGCTGGGCGGTGCTGTTAGCCGCACTACCCTCTCGAAATCGATCACCTTCCCTTTCTATAGTTCGCTTAGGGCAGCTGGATCGAAGATGGCCCCTTTCCGCACAGCCGTAGCACCTAGGGCTGTAGCCGTTATTGCGGTCCCAAACTGTAGCTGCTGCAACCTCCCTGACGCGATGGGAACGATGATCCTGCCGCACGGCTCCCACCTCCAGTGCATGGGTTAAGGCATCCTTAAGCGTCTCGTGGTGCCCGAGCCTCTCACAGCAGCTCTGACTTCAGGGTCGCGGATGCCGTCGACTAATGTCTGCACCAGGTTCCCTACAATGAGCGTATGCTTGTCGAACCAGCTTCTCCACCTTAAGGGCCCACTGCTGCAGGTTTTCGTTACTGCGTTGCACGCGATCTTTGAGTTGCGCACGAAAGACGTGTTCCAGGTGAGCGTCGCCATATCGCGCCTCCAATGCTTCAAGGAGCTGCTCGTAAGTCACTTCCTTACCGAGAGTTTCCAGAACAGTTAAGGCCTGATCGCGCAGGCCTAGGGTGAGGCAGTCATGGCCTGACTTTTATTCCAGCCGTTCGCTTTCATGACAGCCTCGAACTGGATTTTGTAGGCCGACCAGAAGTCCCGTCGAACGGTGGCACTTTGAATCCACGTAGCGAAGGTGTTGTAGCTACCACGGGAGCTGTAACTCCATCCCCAATTTTGAGGTCGTCCAGCGTTTTCTTCACGTCAACCATCACGTTGTCAATCCGATTGTTCACTTGGTCGATTCGGGTTTCAGCTTCCGACAGGCGGTTGTCATGTTGAGCAACCCTATCCTTCATCTCCTTTATCTCTTTCCCGTAGGTAGCGTGAAGGTCCTTCATGAGGAGCATCTGCTCTTCCTTATCGCGTTTGAGCTGATTTTAGAAGCAACGGGCCTGTTCCTCCTGTCCGCGCTGCAGCTGCTCTTCCTTATCGCGTTTGAGCTGCTTTTAGAAGCAACGGGCCTGTTCCTCCTGTCCGCGCTGCAGCTGCTCTTCCAACCGACGGACCTGTTCCTCCTGTCCGCGCTGCAGCTGCTCTTCCAACCGACGCGCCTGATTCTGCAGCATCATCATCAGAGCACCTAAGTCAGGTGCTGCAGACGCAGGAGCTGCTGACAGGCCGGCCTCCGTGGTCAGCAGCTGGCCCTACGACGTTTGCGGCGTTGCATTACTAAATCGTCTCTGGTCCGTCTCCAGCTGGCGTTGACTTCGGGTACGGATACCCTCCATGTCGTCCTTTGGTAAAATCGGCATGATTTGATCCCACTTCTGACACCAATTGTTACGAGGTTGGGGTTCGAGACAATTAAAAACTGCCGATTGAATTACTAAAATTAACACTTTAATTACACAACACTAATTACAATCTAAAACCACACTAATAATAAAACACAATCACTTTAGTATTCTCTTGTATCGCCAATTCAATACTGCCTCGGTCGTGGTCTATACCGGCCCTATATAGGGCCTCGGATAGTTTCCAGAACCTTCTACTGTAGCGACATCTAGAATGTTCGAGTACATATCGGTCCCGAAATTTCTGGAAGGATCTTGACTCTCCTAGTTCTGCTACTCGACACTAGAGGGCGCTAGTGTAACTAGTGTTGCCATGTACAAGACATTATTAGTGGCGCGCAACAATACTATATCATGATTGTCCCCTACAAGAGAAGGTAAGTAATTAATATACACTAGAAATAGGAATGGGCCGAGAATGGAGCCCTGAGGGACACCCATTATTACAGGTGACCCGGAAGAACTTTTACCATTGATAACTTTCTGCATTCTATTACTTAAGTAGTAATAGAATGCAGAACAAGTCGTAACAGTGGTAGAGCCACGCGGCGGCTTTTGCTGTCGCACGGATGGGCCGGCTCGAACCGGGGTGGTACCACGACCTCACAGAATACCAACGTGAAGTAGAGGTTTACCTCTGCGTTTCGCTTGGTGAGTGCAGGTGGCCGGAGGCCCTTCTTACTGGAAATGAGGCATTCCATCTTAGTCCTCACGGGTGACAACGCATCTGCATTTTGATTCGCAAACGAGGATAGATGTAGATGTCTATGGGCCGCAGCAACCACTTACCATCAGGTGGACTGTGTGCTCGTTTGTCACCCTTATCTTATAAAAAAAAAAAAAAAAGTATGAAATAATAAGTTTAAGCGCTGTGTTCTCGACACCATAGTACTGTAGCTTCCTGATTAATGTCTCATGGTGAACGCAGTCGAAGGCCTTGGAAAGATCACAAAATATACCCAAAGCATCCTCTGAATTTTCCTATGCACAAAAAATATGTTTTATAATCTCAACTCCAGCGTCAGTTGTCGAGCGACCCCTTGAAAAAGCGAATTGATTTTTATGGAGCAATTTATTAATATTAAAGAAACTTAACATCTGATCTAAAATTATTTTTTCAATTTTTTTTTAAATGTTGGTAGTACAGAAATTGGTCTAAAATTGGCGGGGTCTAATGTACTACTAGTTTCGACACTTTTATTAAGAGGGCTGCACTAAAAGTATCGGGAATAGAACATTTCCACTGTTCCTATCATATTAAAATATTTTTAATTGAAAACTCCTTGGTTCTAAAAATCGAATACCATTTATTTATTTAAAAAAAGATTCTCGGTCTTGCCATCAAACTTGTTTAGTCGTTGAGAAAATGGAATTGACTCGAGAAAATTCAAAAGCGATGATTTATTATGACTTTCGAAATGGTTTAACACAAAAACAGTGTGTTAATCGGATGATTTCTGCATTTGGTGATGAAGCCCCGTCCAAAACCACAATTTATCGCTGGTTTGCTGAATTTCAACGTGGACGTGTCAAGCTCAATGATGATCCCCGTCAAGGTCGTCCAAAAACTTCAGTCACCCAAGAAAACGTTGATGCTGTGCGTAAGCTGATTGAGGAAGATCGTCATGTGATATACCGCGAAATTCAGGCAACTTTGGACATTGGCATGAGTCAAATACAAATAATCTTGAATGAACAATTAGGTGCAAAAAAGTTGTTTTCCCGATGGATACCGCATTCGCTCTGTGAAGAGCAAAAAGCGGCACGCGTTACTTGGTGCGTCAGAACTCTCGAAAGATTCCACGCAGGATCCTCAAATGCTGTATACAACATCGTATCAGGTGACGAATCCTGGATACACGCGTACGAACCCGAAACAAAAAACCAGTCACGAGTTTGGGTGTTCGAAAATGAGTTAAAGCCAACAAAAATTGTTCGTTCACGCAGTGTTGCAAAAAAATGGTGGCCACGTTTGTCTCCAAATCCGGCCATGTTACGACTATTCCTCTTGAGGGACAAAGAACGGTTAATGCAGAATGGTATGCTAGCATTTGTTTGCCACAGGTCGTTTCTGAATTCCGTAAAGAGAACTGCAACCGCCGCATCATCCTCCATCACGACAATGCGAGTTCTCACACCGCACACAGAACAAAAGAGTTTTTAGACCAAGAAAACATAGAATTATTAGACCATCCGCCGTACAGCCCCGACCTAAGCCCTAATGATTTCTATACTTTCCCTAAAATAAAGAATAAATTGCGTGGACAAAGATTTTCATCACCTGCAGAAGCTGTGGACGCCTACAAAACGGCCATTTTGGTGACCCCAACTTCCGAATGGAATGGTTGCTTCAATGATTGGTTCCATCGTATGGAAAAATGTGTCAAATTTCGCGGAGAATACTTCGAAAAGCAATAAATACATTTTTAAATAGTAATGTTGTGTCACTTCCTTGATTCCCGAAATTTTCAGTGCCGCCCTCGTAAATATAAGGTGCTATTATATCTATTATAGATAAAATAACTAACGGAAATCCCCCATAAGTCTGCCGTTTTCTTAACATCAATAGTTTTAAAATATTTAACGATATCTTTTGGCAGTACTCTTCTGGAATTTAAAAGTATTGGAACAAGCCTTTACATTTTGTTTAAGCAATGATTCGGCGACAGTAGGAGAATTTAATGCCCATGCTTTAAATCTATTATATTATTGATTAACAAATACAAATAAATGAATTACTAGGCTATTATAATGAAGCGTTATTTAAAATAAAATTATATTTCTTTCATGGCAAGATAAGAAAAAATTGCAAGGGAGATGGATATAATTCCATCTCGGTTCTTTAAAGCCGCCAAGGCCGTTTACACTACGTCAGAAGGGGTCGTGACGGAAAAATCTTACACTTTTTCTCGCCTAGCCTCTATCCGCCAAATTCGTACCGTCCGATAAGGAACTTCGTTCCAACATGTGAACTAAAATGTTCGGAATGTAATGTAATATATTATGAATTTAGTAGTAATGCCCAATAATAACGGGAAAAGGCAGCTCGCCCCCCCCCCCCCCCCCGGCGACGCCATTGCCGGGGGACGACCACGCTCTAGCAGAATACCAGCGTGAACAGTAGTATAAAGCTGCTGTATTTTGTATGGTGAGTGTAAACCCGAGAGCTCTTTTACTGGTAACTTCTTGTTTTATAAGCAATATGGCCCCATCGTTTTACTGATAACTATATTCCTGATAATGTTTGTGCTGTTAGCCTTTTGGATTTAACAGCTTCATCCGACTAATGTAACTTATTTCGAAGCAAGAGAATCCACTAACTCATAATCCCGCGGGTGCAAAGAAGTTAGCGTTAATGGCCATACTAATATAAACTGTGTTACAGCCGTCAGTTTCGCTATACAATACACACACATGTTAAAAGAAATGTGGAAAATGAAGAGAGAACTTTCTAATTACCACAAACCTGTGTGTGTGTGTGTGTCAGGTTTTTTTCTGTATATTTTTGTAAATTGGTATATTTCTTCAAAATAAAGTATGACATAGATATATAATGAAGGTATATACCGTACCGTTATAGCTTATAGCGTATCAAGTCAGCTCTATAAAGCTAGCAGTGAAAAGTCAGCAAAAACCTTAAAATTGTACACACAAATTTTTAGCTAATTTGTTGTTCCAAACAGTTTCGAGAAAATGGAATTACTACTATCTTAACGTTAAGATAACGTTCCAATGATAGAACAAGTTGTCGGATTCGAGGATTACCATGTCCTCCCCCCTTTCTTTGGATCTCAGATTATCCTGTAATTTGTGTGAATGACTGGTGTGTGAGTTAGGTAGCAACCGAACTTCCACCGGAAATTCTCAGCACACTCTGCCCCGGCGTTACCATGGTCAGTACGACTTGACGTCTCAAAATGATGGTGGTCAGCATTAAGGTTTAAGTGAAATACTCTAATGTAATGTTGCAGAAATTCACAGCAAGCGTGGCAGTGGGTGCCGTAATATTTTATGCTATGTTTGCTAAGTATTTGTACCGAGCGGAATAAAATAAAAGACCAATGTTAAGAACTTTTACATTTACAAGGCTATAACTATTACATTTAAATATCACTATACAAAACAAAACATGCTCGCTTAAATCTAATATAAATGATAATAAATAAGATATTCATTATTTATTTCGTGCTTGATCTTGACAACATGGTCTAGGACCATTTGGGTTATCCGATACGGCTTTGTCATCATACGGAATATTTTCTAACTTCAGGGTTTCTTTTGTTATTTTTGCTTCTGTAATAATAATAAAAAAAATTATTGATCACGGATTGAAGGACTTGGATATTATATAAAAATGCCGATGATTAAAGAGAAGGATTATGACTGTGTATGTTTTTCTTTTATTTTTTATGTTATCTAAATTTGTTTACTGGATGTCTTAAAAAGGCAGGATTTTAGGAGCGGCAAATTTGGGATCAATTTTTTTGGTGTTGTACAGAAATTAAAAGATTCATATTTATAGACTTAAATGATATTAGTTCCACAAAGAATTTAACATGCAATATGTTTCACCACTTACATAAATGTTACTACATTTTGCGTAATCGCGTTTAATTGTGGCCCGGGAATGAATGACATGACCATTCGCTAAGTGTCTTACCGAAATGCCGAATTGACTAGATTATCCGTAAAGCGATAAAATCGACAGCTTTTATAAAGTGGAAGTAGAAGTAGTGTTAAATGACCAGGAACTTCAACAACATGCACTGCCACAATACAATCAGGAAAAGATGAAACAGATTTGAACACTGCGGCTCAATAACAACATTCATCTGTTGAACAATCTTCTTTAGAAAAAAAAAAGAGGCGGTAGAGGAATCATCAATAAGTATAACAATTGAAGATGCGTCTCAGAATCAGAAGTTCAGTAATAACCAAGTGCAAACAGCAGTAAGTCTAAACAAAGATCCAGCTTTATGGAAAATCAACGATACCGTAAGGGAGATTATCACAAGGCACGGCTTCGATCAAAACAAGTCTTGTGACTTCTCTATAAGTGAAAAAATATATGCTGATCAGCGTTGTTTCTTGCCAGTAAGTATCTTCCAAAGAAAAATGATGTAAACGACCGAAATTGATTGGTTTATTCTGCAGTGAAAAATCTGTATTTACGCCCTGTTTGGCATTCGGTCCTTCGGAGAATAAGACTCAGATTGAGAACGAAGAATTTAATGACTTGAAAAAATGCAGAATTTTTTTTTATAGGATATGGTGATAAACGAGCACACAGTCCACCTGATGGTAAGTGGTTGCTGAGGCCCATAGACATCTACATCTATCCTCGTTTGCGAATCAAAATGCAGATGCGTTGTCACCCGTGAGGACTAAGATGGAATGCCTCTTTTCCAGTAAATAGGGTCTGCAGTCTCCGGTTCTGGTACAGATATCGAGTAGCTCAGCATGAAAACTCTGCGCGTCAGTAGTATCCTTAGTCTGAAAGTTAGAAGTGAGATTGTTGGTCGACATGACAATTTACTGCATGTAGGATTGATGAGGAAATTATTTTTTGGTGAAACATTCTGAGAAGTTAGTTGCCGTAGTGAAACAACTGTGTTCAAGAGGCCTCACTTTCAGGGGAAAAAATGTTCGGTGATCTGCACAACGAAAATTATTATATAATTTTGGAACTGTTAGCTGAATTTGATCCTTTTTTAGCCTATTACTTATCAAAAAACGTTTGCCATTAGTTGAGTTTATTCTCTTGATGGGTCATAAAGATTTAAAAGATTGGAGACGAGATAAGAAGGGCAAAATATTTTTCCTTATCATCGATTCAACACCAGATAATATACATGTGAACCAACTTATATTTTAGAACTTGCGTTTTGGAAACAGACGAAACCAGTGAAAGATTTCTCAAGTTTTTGCTCTTAGTGGAACATAAAGCGGAAGAAATGTTTTCTGCCATTGTTTCGAATTTCAAAACACTGGTCATAAATATTGACAATCATATGAAGACTGCCATGGACAATCATATGATAATGTAGTGAACATGTGGTTTGTACAATGCCTCAGTACTGGCTAAATTTCAAAGCCAAGCACCTTTTGATTTCTTCATTCCTTGCTCTGACCACTCCTTAAATTTAGTGGCAACTGCGCCTGCTGAATCTTGCACAGAACCTTGTTGCTTCTTCATGTTGCTGCAAAAAATCTATGTATTTATTGTAAGTTCAACACAACGCTGGCAAAAATTATTGACAGAAATAGGGAAAGCGAAAATGCTAAAGAGAATAAATCTGACACGTTGGTCAGCTAGAGAGGATGCGGCTAGAAGTTTCAAGAAATTCTTGACATGAAGTCCTTAAAACTTTGGAATCAATCGAGAATGATTGTACCAAAAAGCCTGTAACGCAAAACGAAGCGACGGGAATACTTTTGAATTTAGAAAAACTATTATTGTGTGGATTGGTTTTTTGGAAAGAATAAACAAAGTGAATGTATAAATTCAGGCTTCTACCGTAGGTTTGATCACTCTTCTTGCAAGTTTTTCGTAACTGAACGAGCCCATTTTAAGTATTTAGACAATTTTGGAATTAAGCGTACTGCTTCGAAGCAGTATACGAGTACAAAAGAGTTGTAAAAGGACAACCGAAAAGGAAAAAAGTGATAAAACACCCAATAAAGAAATGAAAATAACTATGAGTGACACATATTATTTCATCTCTCATAGATTCGTATCCGAATTAAAAAACAGCAGGAGGCCTACAACAGGTTTAATGAAAAGTTTTAATTTCTGACCAAAATGAGTGGATTGTCATCATCAACCCTTACGGGAAAAGCCCTTTTCTTGAAAGAAATGTATTAGAGACAGACTTATTTCAAGAATGCCACCATTCATTCATTTTCAATGCCACTTCTGAAAGAATTTTGAGCAAACCATATTCTGGATTACTGAAGTCTATATTCGTTCTTGCGACAGAATTTGCAAAACGTTTATCCAAAATTTATATAATTAATAGAAGTTCACATAGTTCTACCTCTACAAAAATTTATTAATAAAAAATTAAAACTTTGTTTACAAGATTTTTAACTAAGTAGAATACGATCACATTTCTATTAGGAATCGTATTTTGGGTTTATTTGTTGTTTACACTATCTACCGATGTCTTACGAGCCAAGCATCGCGATCCCCGACGAATGGCCTTGCATGCATTGGGTATCACAGAACTCACATAATAGCGGAAACATGGTCGATCAGTCAGAATAGGTTCTTTACATAAGTAACTTACTTACAATTGCACAATGTATTTTTTACTCTTTTTTAACAGTCCTTAGTAACCACGGAAAGTCCGTCGTGACGTAGAAAGGAGAACAGATGCAAAGTAATACGGACACTTGTGCGCAGCGATAAAGTTTTATTTAGCTTGCGTGCGAGATTTATCTGTTTAATAATAACTATGTAGGCTATTAAAATGTTGGCAAGCAGTCAACACCAAAGGAGTGCAACTTCTGTATGTAGTACTATTATTTATTCTGTGACATAGTACGTTATGTAACTGTGCACACGTCATACCTAGTGGCCCAAAGACTTGCGCATGTTGCTCCATGAGTAGCCGTATGACGGATAAGGAAAAAACAAACTATCGAAGTTACGCAACAGGTCTTTTTTAAATATTCCGAAAGTACCCGCTGTAAATATAGAAGCTATAGTACATAGTACAAAGCTTCTACATTTATAGTGGATACATTACATAATATGGAGTGTTAGTCGCTTTCCTTTTCACACAGAATAACAGCAACAAGTTTGATTTGAACCTGCTCACAGTCTAATACTTTACCATTGCATTAACTTCTAATATTGCAGTTTAGCTTTTATTGAATTAACTAGTTGATACCCGCTAGCTTCGTTAGGCTCACGATAAAATTTTATTGCAGAACCTATTAAATATTTTTTTATCGGACTATCATAAAATGCGTTCTTAGTGAGTGTCTATATTGCATAGTGAGTAAGTATACTAAATCACAAGTCAATCGGGTGTATAGTTTTAGAGATCTCGTGATGAGTCAGTCAGTCAGTGGTATTTCACTTATATATAGATTATAAGTAATTTTATGATGTGTATGCTCTATATTTGTGTGTTGAGATAATATTCAGTTAAATTGCAAATATAGTGTGTGAAAATGATACATTTTAAATAATATTATATAGTGTTATTATTAAGTATGGTACATTGAACATAAAATTACCAAATACACCAGGTTTAACTTCCCGTGCTTGAATTACTTGTGTTCTTAACTCTGTCTCAACATCTTCTCCAAATTTAATCATCTGAAATAAAAATTATTCCAATATTATTCATAAAGCTAAATATTATAAATAGATTGATATATTGTTTCTATTATGCTCACAATCATAACTGTAGTCGTCTAGTGGTTAACACACATACAATAGCAGTAAATATTTTGGAAAAATTTATATTGAATTGGGGATGAAATATTACAGGCTTCCACTGATTATTATTTAAGTAGTATCATGGATGTGTCGGTAAATACAAATTTCTGACATAATAGCCTTATCAGTTAATTCTTTATAAATTATGTTTTGTAAATATGAGCTTTGTCGGAAATGCGAATGATTTTAAAAGTCTGGAAGCGCTCCAACATTGTTTCAACAAAAATATGACTAACAAACTGTGAATTAATATCCTGCACTAACTATAATTTATAGGGATGCAATTTAAGATCTTTGAAGAGAGCGAGCTCCGCTAATCGCTTACAAGTTGATTGTCTGGGATTACATTGTATGGAAATGTTAATTTCATCTATTGCTTCTTATCAACCTTTGGCATCCTGCAGGTTTTTGATTTAGCGTGGAACTGGTGCATTCAAACTTCCTGACCCACATTCTAATGACTCTCACTGGGACATTGTCTTAAAATGTCTAATCTAAACTCTTTCTGAAATATACATTGAATGGAATCACCATTTTTGTAATAACTTCAACACACAATGCATGTTGCTCACCTATGAAATGCTCCTTCACAGCTAAATTTCCTTGAACTGAGCTACACAACCCCACTTCTCGCATATCATTATGAAGCAAATCCATTTTTAAAATTGTACAGCTTTCTGGCCCAACCTGTATTTGAAATTTTCAGCTTGTTTGCCCAGTGCCCAGATACTGAACATAGGTGTTCCAGATAGCTTCCTCATAAGAGATTTTGCCATGTTGCCACACATGACAAACTTGGTTGGCATATGCAGTTTTTTATTTTTATTCAGATTTAGAAGTTTTTCAGTACCTAGCTTTTATTTGACTGTCCACTAACTCATTTGTTTCTATTTGCATCTAGTAATAATCTTTCTAAGTTCTTAATTTTAAACTGTAACTTATTTGTGTCAGATTCATATGCACACACACTTTTTTATAATCTATCCCTACAGAAAATAAGAAGTGCCTCAGAAATAAGAAAAAATAGTTTCAATATAGCTGTTTTTTTTTTTCTTTAATTATGCCTTTGATATTATGGTTAGGTCAAGATAATTCTGCCCATGTCTGGTCTTTCCTCTGTCACATCTTGTCTCCATTAGGATGTTGTTGTTTGAATTTTCAGATTATTGCAGAATTTATAGAAGATTTACGCCAGCTCAAGTAAGCACCTATGTGGGCAAAATAACTTGATGTTTATATCAACATTGAAGCGTTTTCATTTTCATAAATTCCATGTGTATAGTATCAAAATCTACCACAACAATAAAACATGAGCAAGAATCCACGTTTCCTCTAAAACTCATCAAGGCATACTGGTATGTTAATTATTTTCTAAATTCAGTTTTTCATTTGTATATTTAGGTTTTTTTTTACATTTTCTATTAAGGCAGGTTATATTCAGTCACTGTGTTTATTCAATGTCACAAGTTTTGTAAGAAGAGGTACAGGTAACAGGTACACACGTACATATACTTACAGATTTAATCGATTGTTCATCTTGAACATTCTTGTTATTTTTGTATTCTTGGTTAATTTTAATTCTAGCAGCAGTCAATGCTCTTAAATCTCCTTCAAATATTTTCATCCTGGTGCGATGCAATTTTTTAAAACTTTGTAGAACCTAGATAAAATAATAATTAGGTATTAGTCGAATGTGTTACAATAATTTATTACTGCAATAACATAATATATTACCAAAGCTCGTAGATTACTCATAATCTTACATATTTTGGCTATTCTTGTTAAATTGTAATTGTAATATAATATATATTAGAAGTACCTACTACCACAGTAAAATTTATATAACAAACACTGACAAAGTGACAAACACAGACTACTTACATAGTGGATACTATACTACGCACAGAGTACATTATATATAGGGAATACTACGTAATAACCACAACTATATAGAAACACGTCGTAACGAAGATAGACATAGAGGACTGACCGATGACCGAATATACACTCTTATCTATGGGACTGACTAAGATACTATATATTACTATTATATGTCTATGCGTCTTAATAACAAACAAACACCAAATTCTTTTTTATAACTGGCTTTACGGCTTTGGGTTCTAGCCCTTCTGAGCCTGAAGTTACTATGTATAATTATCCTTCATAGTACACTGCTTCATAATATGTTGATGCGTCACATTGTGCAGCCCTTGGGAGATTTTGACTGCAACTTGAACCAGTGTTTTTTGGAACGAAGTTCTTTTACGCGGCCTACAGTAGATTGAACTGATTTGATACATACCACGCTAATAAAAGCGTGTTAAAAAGCAACAGATACCAAACTAATAAAAGCGTGTTAAAAGCGCCGGGGCCGCGGGTTCCAATCCCGCACGGAACAAGTATTTGTATGGCCTACAAATAATTGTTCCGGGTTTGGTTGTTTGTTCTTGTGCAATTTGTGTTTAAAAACTGCCTCCATGATACAGGAGAAAATCCTAGTGTGGTGGTAAGGTTTCTTTTCAAAAAAGAAAAGAAAAAAATAACCTCTTTTACCCATTCAGATTATCTATTTTTTGCACTTGTCAAATTAAACAATAATGATAGTGTGTTCATATGGAGTTTTCAATTTTATGAAAACTAATTTGATGTACCTATCTAATACGACTTATACACAGACCATTTTGCTGTACGTACCATCATTACAGCCCTTCACAAGTCCACTGCTGAACATAGGCCTCCCCCAAAGAATGCCACAAAGCACGGTCCTGAGCCACCTGCATCCATCGACTTCCTGCATATCTTACCAGGTCGCCACTCCATCTAGTGGGGGGACGCCCTACACTTCGCCTGCCGGTACGAGGCTGCAACTCGAGAACCTTTCTTCCCCATCGGTCGTCGGTTCTTCGAGCTATATGGCCGGCCCATTGCCACTTCAGCTTACTAATCCGTTGGGCTGTGTCGGTCACTCTAGTTCTACTGCGGATATCCTCATTTCTGAGTTTATCACGCAGAGAAACTCCGAGCATAGCTCTCTCCATAGCTCGCTGAGCGACCTTGAGCTTCCTCATCCGGCCAGCAGTGAAGGACCACGTCTCAGTTCCGTATGTCATCACTGGCAACACGCACTGGGTGTACAGTCTCGTTTTCAAGTTTTGAGGTATACCTGACGAGAAGATGTGCCGTAATTTCCCGAACGCTGCCCAACCGAGTTGAATCCGTCGATTGACCTCTCGGTCGAAGTTGGACTTACCTAGTCGGACTATTTGTCCCAGGTAAACATACTCGTCAACAACTTCGAGCTTAGTGTTCCCAACAACTTCCGTCATAGGTGTGACATGGATATTAAACATGATCTTTGTTTTGTCCATGTTCATCTTAAGACCTATCCGTTGGGAAACACTATTAAGGTCATTGAGCATAGTGCTTAGGTCCTCCAGCGATTCTGCCATAAGGACTATATCGTCGGCAAATCGAAGGTGAGTGATATACTCGCCATTGATGTTGATACCGTATCCTTTCCAGTCCAGAAGCTTGAAAACATCTTCCAATAAAGCGGTAAAGAGTTTCGGGGATATGACGTCACCCTGTCTTACACCTCTCTGCAATTGGATAGGTTTCGTACTCTGGTTTTGTACTCGGATAGCCATCGTAGCCCTACTGTACAAGCACTTCAACACTTCGATATACCGACAGTCAACTTGGCACCGCTGAAGGGACTGCAGCACCGCCCAAATTTCGATGGAATCAAAGGCTTTCTCATAGTCCACATACGCCAGACATAGTGGCAAATTGTACTCTTCGGACTTCTGTACAACTTGCCGAAGGGTATGTATGTGGTCTATGGTGCTAAAGCCCTTTCGGAAACCGGCTTGTTCGGGAGGCTGGAAGTCGTCAAGTCTGCGCGCGAGACGATTCGTAATGACTCTCGAAAACAGCACGTAGACGCGGCTCAGAAGGGAAATCGGTCTGTCGTTCTTCAAGAGAGCGTTGTCGCCTTTCTTGAAGAACAAGACCACCGCACTTCTGCTCCACGCCTCCGGTGTAATGCCATCATGGAGAACGGAATTAAAGAGATTCTATAGGACTTCGAGTACCGGTTTTCCACCCGCTTTCAGAATTCCGCTGTAATTCCATCCTCGCCTGGGGCCTTGCCGTTTTTAAAGTGCTGGAGAGCCTGATGTCCGGGATATCATCGGAATAATGTCGGATAAGACTCGCTCTTGGACCGTTACTCACACTTGCGTGTGGCTCCAACGATGACGTGTACAGCTGCCCATAGAACCTCTCAATCTCACTCAAAATCTCAGGTGCCCCGGAAACGATGCTGCCACACTCGGTCCTCAGCCATGACAGTTGGCTCTTTCTGGCGGACAGATCTCTGGCAAAGACTTTGGAGCCTTGGTTCCGCTCGATCGCTTCTTCAATACAAGCTGTATTGAAGTCGCGTAAGCCCCGCCGCATGAATTTAGAGATCGGTCTGTTCAGTTGCCTGTATGCTGTCAAATCTGTTGAAGAATGTAGCTTCATCTCCCGTCTAACAGCCATGAGATTAAGAGTGTGATCGGAGAGTTTTTGTGTTCTTCTGCGGCGGGTCTTGCAGAACTTAGCTCCGACCGCATGGACAGTTTCCACGAGCTTGTCATTCATATCGTCCACTTCATTGCAGTCTTCTAGGCACTGAAAACGGTTTTGTAACTCGAGCTGAAAAGTTTCGGGACTTTGGATCAGAGCATGAGGGGGACGGAGCGTTGACTTCATTAGACGAGACCTCTCCAACTTAATGTTTAGGTTCAGTGTGCCTCTAACCATTCGGTGATCGCTGCCGGTTTTCACCCTCGCGATCACTGAGACATCACTGAACAGTTGTCGTCTGGTCGTCATAATGAAGTCAATCTCATTTTTTGTCGAACCGTCGGGGCTCGACCAGGTCCACTTCCTGTGGGGCCGCTTCTGGAAGAAAGAGTTCATCATAAAGAGTCCCTCTTAACTCCGCCGTTGCCGGTCCCAAGCCCGGATGAGAAAGGAGGAGGGGACGAATCCGCCGGAGAGAGTGGGTGTATCCGGTGGACTAACACACCCACCTGCGCTAGGACCTGCGCAGTCGAGCGCCGTACGCGGGGATGAAGGAGTCCTGGAGGGTTGAGCCGATCGTCGCTGGGGTATATAGTGGCGAGAGGCAACACGCCCTCTTTGGTCCGGATTTCAAGCTAAACGGTGGCCCTATCTGCTAGCCACAGATAGGGAAATGGCCAAGCGCCCCGTCAGAGGGTCGCAGGCGAGGGATGTGGGGGCTGCCTAGTCTTCCTGAAAAGGGGGCTGGGTGGTGGTAAAGGCCATGCTGACGGAGCAAGTGACAGTTTATTCGGGTGGTGGGGATGGGCCTTGTCAGCCCCATCTACCAGCTGGATCGAGCTCCCGATGTCGCGCTGTGAGCCAACTTCGCGTCCCTATATTCTCCCGGTAATCCTAACGCCTGAAATTCCTAAAGTAGGGCGTTCCCAAAGGTGCGGGCTCCATGGAGGGTGGGAAGCCGGGGGGATGAATTTTAAAAAACACAAATTATGGACAATTTAAGGCCCAATAAGAAGGAGGGAGAGGTGTCAGAGGTGCTTACCAGAGACACCAAAGAACAAAAGGGAACCGTCACTAAACCGACGGTTCCACGGACAGTACCGTCCAGCGTAGGTGCCCCCACCAAAGGGATAACCTCGCTGAACGTTTCCAAAACCAGTTCCAAGGAGCTGGAAGAGAAAAAGAAACAAGAGCCCGCAAGTGATAAAACTGCGGAGCCACTACGGACTGACGACCTTTTCTCTGCTGCCTGGCAAGTGGTGAGCCGTAAGGGGAAAGGCAAGGCACCCAAAAAGGTGACTTGCCGACCTGACGGACCATCAGGAGGGTCTATCCCTGCAGGCAGTAGTGGAAAGGCCAAAAAGAAGAACAAGAAGCAGCGGGAAAAAGGCCGTAGAGAACGAGCCGCATTGGCTGCTTCAGATACCAAAACCAAGGAGGCTGGGCAAGCTACTGCAACTGAGGTGCTTGGCGCTGGAACCAGTAGCCGCGCTGAAGCTGGGAAGGATAAAAATCCAGCCCAAGTGGAAGTCGCGGACGCGGGAACCAGCTCTAGGATATCCGCCAGGAAGCAGCGAGCGGCCAAGCGTCCTGGGAAGAAGGAAAGAGCAGCCAAAAGGATGCTGGAAGAGTCCACCTCGCCTAGAGGTGAACACAAAAAAGTGAGACTCGAACAGCAACCAAAGACTGCAAGAACGAGCTACGCTTCCGCTGCTAAAGCAGATTTGGGTGTGGCCTTAACGTGTGCGCGTTCAGGTCACATTACGAAGGAAGTAGCAGACGACATCCTCGTAGCAATACAGAGGAAGATGATCAGCGAGGCCTGGAGTAGCCAGGACCCTGATGCGTCGGGCCCAGTTTTTAGGGGCAAACCCGTTTATACGGAAGGTGTCCTGAAACTGTGGTGCGACGATCAGAAGGCTCTGGACTGGTTGAAGGGGAACATTGCTACCCTCGACCTTAAATCCAGCACCTTGCTGACAATAAAGAAACAGTCAGAGATACCACAAAGAGTCAAATGTGGTATCCTTATCCCTGATGCCCAGGGGGCCTGGAAAGACTCACGCGACATTGGTCGCGTGTTGGCGTACCAGAACCGCTGGGTTAACATCAGGGACTGGCTGTTACTCAAGGCAGATAAGCAGACGGACGGGTGGTTCCTCGTTGTTTCGGTGCCGGAGGATCATATCCCGACCCTGATGAAGGCCGGACGCCGTCTCGCATGTGTATGCGGGGCGGTATACGTAAAATTCCAGGGTCGTGGAGGCAAATTCTTTGATACT